CCGAGTGTCTGTGCTGCAACAAACTTGAGCAGCGTCGCAAGGTGGTGCGACGTACCACATTAGGGCGTCAATGCAATCGAAAGCATCGCAGCGTTATTTTTCGCTTTCACTTTGACGCCACTCCATGTTGGAATATCTGTAAAAGGTCATTCTTAGCACTATACTGCATAGCTTTGCAACATTCCAATAGACTCAGGCAGCTCTAACAAAGCTGTCTCGTATGGTTCTCGATTCTGCAATGACGCTGAGTAAGGCCAAGGAGTACCGATTGACATTTAGTGAATTATTTCAGGTTGTCTTGTCCGCGAACCTAATGCAATAAAGAGCAATAGTATATAGCACGATTGACTCGGAGCATCCGCGTAGATAGGAGTATTCACACCAAAGTGTTGTTGGGTAGGGGGTATAACTCGAACGCTTGTGGACCGTCAAGACATCCATGCAGTGTGTATTCTAGCGCTGATCTTGTTTGCTGCGAACTTGCTTACACAGCTCAAACCCGTTATCACTATTGACTGGTGTAACGGGGCACACCCTTGCGTAACTTGATGCAAGGGTTTTGAGTGCCCCGACAGACGTACACGTGGCAAGCGAGGAAGCGTAGGTAGGGTAAAAGCAGAACTGTTATATTAATATAATTAAGTCTTTAAACTACTGTCTCTTCGTTTGACTTAATTCAATTATGCTAATATAACTGCATGTATGGTGACGTCTCGTCACCACTCATTGCGCGCGTCTTGCGGCGATTGGTGGGTTGATATCATCACGATATCAACCAATGAACAGACCCTTTGGTCGACCCTTTAATATCACCACTTTGGTGATATTGTTTTAAAGAATATCCATCTATATATTCTTTATTGTTACTTTCCTTAAAGTGACAATTTCATGTAACGGGCTGCCCCGTTACAACTGGCGTGTAGTCCACCAGTTCCGCGATGTTGCACTTGCCGATAGGAAGTATGTTGCTTACATTGCGTGTGCACGTAGCTGACAAAATGGCTCACAAATCTGGCACGAGAAATCAAAAGACCTTTGACGACCACGTACGTTGTCGTTGGCGTTGTTCTGAATTGTATAAACTTGATTTATGTCGACCTGGCCACGCCGTGACTCATCATCATGACCAAGCTTGAGAAAAGTCACGGGCTGCTCGATTCCACTATAGACCTTTACATCCAAGCACCGGGTTCTTCTTGAGTCATGCTGACGTGCAGCAAGGTGTTCACAATAGCTTGTGCAAGTTCCATGTAGCTATTCTGCAGAATTGCAATTTGGTCTACCATATTCTTCTCTTCGATAAAAGGAATTGGGCGATAGTGGATAAATGATTGATAAATGATCGATGGAATTGCTCCTTCTGAAAAGAAGAAGCAAGGTCGTACTGTAACTACCGTACGGTCGTTCGAGTCAAACAGCAATCCCGGCATCATCGCGATGGTTATCTTCTTGTCCGCACCGATGGTGAGCGCTTGTTCCTTCTTTCCAGCGTTTACTCCACGTATGCAGGAATGAAAATGATCTCGACAAAGGGCCGGTATCGAGCAGTAAGAGACGTCGCAAATGTAATCAAGCATGTGTCCGTTGCTGTAGTGTTCGGCGCCAGTACATGGCTCTTCTCACCGAGCTCTGTGTATTCCTTTCACGTTGAGCGATGCTGCTCACGTACATGTATCGAAAGCTGTTGATGCAAACTTCGACCTGTCTGCAGCTTATGATGAGTGGTACGCTTTCGCCGCTGCTATTTTCCTCGCACTGTCGTCACTCACGTCGTTCACGACCCGTATGTCTCCTGGAACTGCTTTCGGTGGATCGAAAGCAAATAGGGCGGCCAGCTTCCCTCCTTGTTGTTGCGGTTGTTGTCGGCCGTGCGCACTTCTTCTTCGCCAGCTTCTCCATCGAAGATCGCCATGCAAAAGACAAGCGACGCTTTTCGCCATGGAAAGTCTTCACATCAAGTAGCATCATCACGTGCGTCAGGAGTGACCGATCAAGGAGTGACGGAAGTGAGCTGCTGCTGGTGATGGGTGATGAGCGGCAAGCAAAAACGAGATTGAAGTGCTGACGTTGGGTCCTTCCCAGCCGATGGCGTTCACTCGAGGACCAGAGAAACTTGTATGATCGCTAGGAGGTACTGTGTGCACGAGGGCAAGCGCTTTATGGACTCTTCGAGGCGTGCGAAGCACAGCACGACTCCATGGGGCTACGCAGGACTCGAACGATGCCTCGATCGCGTACCTCCTGACGAGAAAATAGAACGATGACGAAACCAAGTGCTGAACATCGGAGACAGGTCGTCGCTGTGTGCACGTCAAGTCCCACTCGTGGATCCTCCTCCTGCACTGGGCATCTTGTGGGCGGAAAAGCGGAATCGTTGAAAGCCGCTGACCAACCAGGTGGACGTGGGAGGTACTTCCGCCACCGTATCTGTCTCGCCTTTCGACGCTGCTAATGGCAGCCCAACAGTTCACTTTCCCGTCCAGCGGTCTCCTTTACTCAAGTACAGTTCTGCGCGTCCTTCCCGAACCTGCCGCTCAACCAATTTGCTTGAACACTAATCAACTGGCAACAACGAAGTACACGTAGCGACAGCTGAGGGCGGTGACGTTGTTGATGCTGCAGCCCTATTCCGCCACCTGACTCACTGTGCTTGCAACCACTTGCACCTGTCAGCTCAGCTCCGGCGGCGAAGGTGCAAAGCAGACACGAGTGGCGGACGGATGCCACGCGCGTTTGCGAGCTGTTCGCCAGAGAGCTGATTCCACCGAGCTGGTCGGTATCTCGTGCGACAAGTCCCTGCGCTTCACGCACGGTCGAGGCGGCTCGAGCGTGCCAAGCAAGCTGACTGCCATCCCAACCGAAGAGACTGCTGCATCAACGAAAAGCCGGGCAAGTGCTCAGCGTGCTTGGTAGCTGCTGGACACAGACAAGGCAGGTGCAACAAAGCCTGGTCGGCGAGCCGATGGCACGACCCAGTAGGCCCCAAAGAAATTCCAGGCGGTCCTCTACCGGCGATGCGCCGCCTCGTGATGGGACGCAAAGCCTGTCCACACAAAATCGTAGTGGCCGTACTCTGTGCCGCTCACGCCACGCTGGACGAGTGTGCCTCGTCTTCGTGAGAGAGCGGTCGTTGACGCATTCGGCAAAGAAAGCCCGTGGACCCAAACGACGGCATGACGTCGATGGGCGCTGTAATGCCACGGCCTCATACGCCTTAGAGTTCCGCCACGCCGCCATCGCTCGTCAGGCTACCGGTCGGGACACTGGACGTTCCCACTGTATCCAGTTATCCTCCAGGTGGCAGGAGCGCAAGCGTCTGTTTTGGCCGATCAACACGCACCCTATGCCTGTCCTGTTTTTACGGCAACAGGTTCCGTAGCTTGGAATCTCGCGCTGGGCTCTCTCTCCTGCAGTTGTGCTACATGGCGGTCGTTAGCCGGTCCCTTTTCGCCAAATGTCAGCACATAGCCGCGTAAGTAACTACTCCCTCGGATACCGACGCAATGACTGTCGCCTAGTGCTTACACGTGTAAACCACACGGGTCAAGCAGGCACAGGGCCTTCGAGACCATGTCGCTAGCAGATACGCTGAACTCGGTGGTAGTTGTCTCCAATGTGCCTTCCGACAAGTGCGAGTTGGATTTTTCGTAATGGGCGGCGCCTCGAGAGAACTCGTAGTGCGATTTGAAGACCCTCTCGTGGCGTAGGCTATCCGTGTGTCGCGCTAGTCTTTACCTCGGCATCGCAATTGCCGAAATTGACTCACGGAGCTTGAAGTGCGTGCCTGCCAGAGGGCTGCGGATCCAACTCTGTGGTCAAGACATGGCCGTTCCTTTTCGCGCGAGAATTGACACGTCCGACCGTCTGGCTGCTACCGAGTGGTGGTGGCCGCGACCCCACTTGTCGGCTGCAACGACGGCACAAAGCGCCACGTGCGGCTGCCGCTCTCGTTCGTCCAGCGTAGCACGAGGAGCAGCAGCCGACTTTCGGTATCATCGAGTCCTGGCAAAAAGAGACTTGTGCGGTTGAACTCGCGCCGCGTGGACAGTCTACTTGGACAGGGATAGCCACTTTTGCACCAGCCGGTCGTCGCTGTTGAACGGGGCAGCGCCGAGCCACTGCGTTGGCAACAACTGCACACCAACAACGAGCCGCCGCCTGCGCGTCGTTCCTGTATCGAATTCGTCGAATGAAGTGCGCGTCCAATCGGCAGCCCGAGCAAATCGCCTGCACGACTGAGCGGCTTCTCCTTAACCCGCACGGCACCGGACGCTCCATTGCCACGCACGAACGCCAGAAGGGAGAGACACGACAACGAGAACAAGCGAAGGGCTCGTCCAGCCTTTCTGGGCCATTTCTGTCTGTCGTTCAGTCTCGCCCGACTGCGCCGAGTTGAGCCGACCAACCAGCCACGGCGAAACCTCGTTCCGTCGTGCTTTCGTGTCTTGCTGAGGGACCTCTCGGGCCTCAGTCTCGAATTCGTGCATTGCTGGCCAGTAGCTTCGCCAGCTCAACAGACCCTTTCGTGGTCTCTGCTGCTGCTTTGGTAAAAGCGCTGCAGCTCGGCCTCGATGATCTGTGAAGCGCGAGCCCCCGAGTATCAGCCCGTCTTGATCAACTCGAGAATGCGGCCAAGTGCTGGGCAACCGCAGCCTCCGTACGACTACGCTGACTGCAACAGCGTCCCGTACAGTCAACAGCAGCAGCAGCAGCAACAGTCACAGCAGCAGCACTTCCGAAGCGACGCCGGACCTTCGATCGTCAACACGCTCGAAGCTCCAGCGTACTATCAGCCGTTGCCCAATGCACCTAAACACGCACCGCAGCAGCAGTCGTACTACGAGCCCAGCTCCCCGGCCGTCACTATCTCCCAGTTCTCGTACGCACTGGACCAGCACAAACCCATTGCAGCGTGCCAGCACCAGCACCACCCACAAGAGCCGTCGGAGTACTGCAGTCCAGTCGTCACACTCAAAACTTGCTCGAAACCTCTCGAGGCCATGGACCAAATGTGCGACGTCTGTCGGTACCCTGACCCAATCCTTGTAGCGCCCACGTGCCGACACACGTTCCACTCGCGCTGTGTCCACGTGTGGCCCATCGACGCCTGTCCAGTCTGTGCTGCGCCTCTAGATCAAGTGGCGATCCTGCCGACCATCGACATGATGACACGGCCCGAGCCGCGCAGTGGAAAGTGGACTCGTCATGAAGAGAACTTCATCGACGTCGTCTTGCGCGAGTTCGACCGACAGGCACTTCCACTGGCACATGGGACGCCCATTCGCTTAGTGCTGGCGAAGATGCTCAACTGCTCGACGATGCGCTTGTCCAAGAAGTTCCAGAAAAACGCCCTGGGAAAGCGTACGTTCAGGGTGGTCAAGCCCGTCAAAGGGAAGAAGGCGCTCGAGTTTGACCCGATGGACCACGCCCAACGACAACGGGAGCTGTCTCAATTGGAGCTCGTCTTTCGACAAGAGCTCATTGACCAGTTCCAACGCGAGAACAACACGAACGAGGGCGCACTTGTCGAAACGCAGTGTCTGCGCGTAGCTGTTCAGCAGTTCTGGGTGAGCAACTTGCTCAAGTTTGCCGTGCTCGTGGGACAGCCCGTGGCGGGCCTGGACGTGTCCGACGCCAAGAAGCGCAAGCGAGCCATGCAGCTCCTTCGCAACGGACAGTACGACGAGCTGCTGTCGTGGCACCATCAGCCGTCTTCTCGTGAGTGTATAGGGATGACGTCAATGCCGCCACCGACGTCGAACGACGTGCACACGGGGCCAACGTCGTGGACCACGACCAGCGCAGCAGAGTACTCGTCGTCCGTGCTAGGGCCAATGCCACAGGAAAGTGGCGTGTACATACCGGCGCTTGTGCATCAGACAGAGCGACCCGTGAAGAAGAAACGCACACCAGAGGCGGACGTCGAGGGCGGTCGCTTCGTCTTGCCCATGGATCAACCCACAGCGTGTGGTCTGCAGTACGGACGCATCTCTCCTCGTAGCACGACGTCCGTCTCCTCGTACGATTACGATCACCAGCAGCAGCAGCAGCACCAGCACCAGCAGCACCAGCAGCAACGACAACAGCAGCCGCAGCAGCAGTCGTATCATCCCGAGCCATTCGGCCGTCCGTCTTGTGGCTACTCGCCGTTCTCCGACGACAGGACACCCAAACAGACGTCACTGGAGTACACCAACGGATGGCAGCGCCAGCGGCGACAGGACCAGCAGATGCTCACGGGACTCGCCAGTCACGACGAAGCCACTGCACGGGACCTGCGGACGGCCTTTGTCGCAACGGGATACACCCGACCAAGCGGCGACGCTGCTTACCACGTCAGCGGGACTGCCCAAGTAGCGCCCTGGGACGCGGATGGGCTACTGGACAACATGTCGTCCGACGTCCACAGCGGAGTCGCTGCCGTCCGAGCCAAGAGCCACGTGGCCCAATGCGGCGGCGACCCGTCGTCCATGCACCCCCCGTGGTCCACTATGCACCTGATGTGAAGACCTCAATGTCGTGACGTTCGCGCGCTGGAAACCTGCCGTCGCCTAGATGTGTCAATGCCGTGTCGTAGCAAAAATACAGCTTAATAAATAAAGTGACCCTGTCCTGTGACAGACGTGCATTCCACTCCCATGTGTGTGTGTACTCGTCATCGACTTGCAAAAATATAGCTTAATAAATAAAGTGAACCTGTCCTGTGACAGACGTGCTCTTTTTGTCGCATCCCACCCCCTGTGCGTGTGTGTGTGTGTCTCGTCATCGACTTGCGTGTCGCACCAACTGCTGGATGTGGACGGAGTGGGTGTGGTACACACGAACAAACTCCCTGTCAGACTTTATCTCGCGCAATGCTCCGACGCCACCGAGTCGCGCGGCTGCGTGCGCGCGGGACGCGGCCCATGTCGCTCCTGGGCTCTATCTTTGGCATTGGCGAGTTTGAGGGCGCGCGCAACACGTCCCTGAGCCGTACCACGAGCAAGCAGCAGGCCTACGACGTCGCGCTACTCGACGTGAGTCGCTCGCTCGCTCTTGGAACGTGGATGTGAAGCCATTTCTAACGTTTCTAATTGCTACGCACTTGTCGGAACGTAGTACGTGAGCATGAACTCGCACCCCAAGTTCATGCTGCAAGAAGTGCTGGCCAAGAACGAGCCATTTATCATGGGCCATGTCCTGGTAGGTACGAGTCAGTGGCTCGCGCCGCTCGTGCATCAAGACGCTCTGGATGCTGTAGCGAGTCTGCAAGTCGCGACTCGGATTGCTAAGCACGGTGGGGGGTTGGCTGGAACGAGGTTAGAAGTGCTGCAACGAGCTGACAATGTCGTATGTCAATGCAGGAGGGACGACGATGGCCGAGACGTTGCACGTGAAGGCACTGGACGCGATGGTGCATGGTCGTTATTACCAAGCAGCTGCACTGTATGAGACCATCTTGTTGCTCGACCACACAGATCTTCTGGCATTGCGCTGCTGTTATGACGTCTATCGATTTCTCGGGTGGGTTTGGAAAAGTGGGCGGTAGCGGTCGTAGTGCTGTGGGCTAACAAGTAGAAGCTGCTGGTCGTGTGTGTCGTAGGGACTACAAGAATCTGCTAGCGACGGTGACACGTCGTTTGACGTCCTGGTCTCCGAGTGATGTTGGATACAGCCATCTGCTGGGTATGCAAGCGTACGGCATGCAAGCTGCTGGACGGCTGGATGCAGCAGAAGCTATGGCTGAGAAAGCGTTGTCCATGAATGGCAATGATCGCTGGGCATGTAAGTGTGCGGAGGTTGCTAAACCGTTGCGTGTCTTGCTCGTGCTGTGTGTGGTGATGTGACTTCTTGTGTTTGGTAGTGCACACTATGCTGCATGTATTAGAAGCACGAGGCAATGCCAATCACGGCGCGAGTTATGCAAATCAATTTAAGGCACGGTTCGACAACGGGGGACCACTAGAGCGCCATTTGTACTTTCAGTGGGCATTGTACATGCTGGACCTAGGCCATTACGACCGTGTCGACAAGATGCTGGAAGTCAGCATTTTCCCTCGCCAGCCTGAAGGCGTCCCACATGCAGTACCGACTCTTTGCGATGCGACCCAGCTCTTCTGGAGACTACGCTTCGCAGGCGAGGACAGGGTCGAGCTGGGAGAAGAGCTCTTCCAGAGCTGGTCTGCTGTGCTTCCGCCGACAAGCTCCGATGTGGAAGAAGTGTCGAAGGCTCATCTTTCGCCGCTCGCGAACGTGCTCCGCTACGTACGTATTCTTGTTATCTCATTGACCAGCACCAATAGCGATTCTCACCGTCACTTTGTACAGAGTATCATGTCATGCGTGTCATCGAGCGATACACCGCTACCCGAACCGCTGGTGCCGAAACTTGACGTCGATGTTGGTTGCCTGGAGTCTCAGTTAGGCCTAACGTTGTATCAGTTTAGCTTTCCTCCTGTCCCAGGTAAGCTTTTGGACATATCGTCTATGTTCTTGTGCGAGCACTGACAATCCTTGTGTCACTTTATGACATTGCCAGATGAGCTGAAGCAAGTGTATACTCATGTTTGCGAAGGATTCCGAGCGTATGCAGAGGTTTGTGTGTCGACACTCGACCCAGCTCGCATGTGATCCGGGTTTATAGACGGAGACCGCGTAGCTAACAGTTATGCTATTTGCCATGGTCGTTTGCAGGGTCGATTTAGCGATGCAACTCAAGCGCTGTTGCCTGTGCGTGGAAAGCTCGGACTGCTCGGTGGCAGCGAAGCAGATCAAGATGTGGTAGAACAGCTCCTTGTCGAGTGGTAAGCGGCCTTTGAGAACCGCAACCAGTTTGTTTCGTACTGACCGTGTGACGTCGTTTCGTAGCGCCAGCAAGTGCGATGACCTTCGACTCGTGAAGCTCCTGCTAAACGAACGGTGCGTTTTTGTTAGAAATTTCGTGGGATCGTGCAGTGATGACCAGTGCCTTTCGTTTGACTCACGTGCTACGCTTTCTTCGCAATCAGGTTGGGTGCGAGACCACAAAACGCCCAGTGTTGGCACACCTTTTCGCGCGTATCTGCAGCCATGGGCGACTCTTCTGCCGTGCGTGATGCTCAGGGCATGAGCTACGTGCTGGGACTAGGTCGAGGCGGCAACCAGACGTACTAGAATCGATGCTCTCTCGAGTCAATGCTATGGTGTTCTAGATTGACGACAGGTATACGGGTAGTTGACATTCCCAGCGATCGAATAGACTGCGTGAAAAGCACACACACACACACACACACGACACTGTGTGGCGAGCAAAGTGTAGCCATATCTCGTGTCCATGAATAGATACATTTGGCGCCACCCGAAAATAACGCGGGAATGAAATGGCTTCAAAACGGATTTTCCGCGCATGTAAGCTGCAGGGCCTCTCGTTCCACGCTGACGCCCTGCGACACCTCACGCAGGAGCTCACCAAGTACGTCTGCGTCTTGCGTCTGTTTCGTTGCTTGTTTCCATGCTCCAACTCGCTGTCGTTGCATCAAAATAGCGCCTCAACGACGACGGCCACTTGTTGTCATGTCATCTCTCGTTGACCGTCTAATATCTGCTGTGTTACGTGCAGTGAGCCATCACTGCAGCTCGACGATGTCCTCTACGCGATCAAGAACAACATTGACCGCAGCAAAAGTGCGTCTGCCACCACTCTGTCGCTTGTCGCCTTCCTACGAACTGTTGTACTCACAGCCTGTTGGCGCTGCTGCTGCTTTGCGCTGCTCAGTGACGACGTCGGTAGTGACACTCGAAGCTCTCGAGAGCGCGTTGGACACGCTCTTGGCAGTGTCGGCAGCAAACGACTACGAGCAGATTCAAGTGTTTGGCGCCTTTGACACGCCGAGACTGCACTTCAACACGCACACCAACTCGTACGAGCTGAAAGCAGACGCTCAGCGTCGACTCCACGCTGGACCCGAGTCGAGGATCCAGTTGCTGAGGCATCGGTTCATGTCAGCAGATCTTCGCGTCAAGCGGAACCGCTTGTTCGCGCCACCTTCGACGGCAGCAGCCACCGCTGCAGAGTACATGGAGGTCAGTGCTCAGGCTCCGTGTTGGACATTGCAATGCGATGGTGACGTTGACAGCGTGCATCTCATTGATTGTCGTCATGGCTCCAGCTGTCGCGGATCGAGTCGTTGCTGGGGGTGAGTGGGGTGCGACGCGTCATCGGCATGCTGGGGCAGGACGAGCGCGAGAGGTTCTACTTGGAGGACTTTACGTCGCGCATCGTCATTGACCTCACGAACGCAGTGTACACCGACGGCTTGTTCACCGTAAACTGCGTGGTGCTCGTAGAAGGTCGAGTGATTGATGACGTGCTTCATGTCCAGGTACACGATGTGCGTTGGCATCTGTCGGTGCGAGCTCAATATCTCATGCTGTGCTTGTTTCGTTACCCTGTAGTCCATGGGGTTCCCACCTCCCGAGACAAAGGAAGCGTCGATGGATGTACTGGGTGGCATCGATCCGCTTGGTGTCGAAGTGTCTGTGCAACAACGACAACAGATCAAAACGCTGGAAACCAATGACCACCACGCTACGTTCATTGTGCTGTCTGACGTCCATCTTGACGACGCAAAGGTCATGACGAAGTTGGATGAGCTCTTCCAAGGCCTCGAAAGTGTGCAGCCTACCCTTTTCATTCTCATGGGCGACTTCATGTCAGCATCCATTGGTGGAAGCGCAGAGTCCAACTCGCTACAGGACCTGCGTGAGTACCTGGACGAGCTCGGGAACCTCATTACCAAGTATCCTGGTATCGCCAACCACTCCCGTTTCGTGTTGGTGCCTGGACCGAACGATCCCGGATCTTCTCGAGCGTTCCCGCGTCACCCGGTACGACCCGTCTGCTTGCACGTCGTGCACGTCTTTTGCACTAACATGTTGTCTCGTGCTCAGCTTCCTGATCTTTGCACGCGCGAGCTCGTGCGCAAGGTGCCCAACCTCACGTGTAGCACGAACCCGTGTCGGATCCGCTACTACACGCAAGACATTGTCATCTTCCGCGACAACCTGCAGCAAAAGATGCAGCGGCACGCGATTCTTCCGCCCATGCCGAGTGAACGTGAAGAAGATGCCGTCATTGGCAACGATAGCGAGACTGACGCTGCTGCATCGTCCGTCTCGCAGATGGACATTTCCAAACATGTACGTACTGTTGCCACTTTTCCTGTTCTTCTTGTAGCTGTCTAGCAACGACACACGGCCAACGACCGACCGACCGACAGTCGATCTAACGTTCGTGTGTGTATGTGTCTATGAACCTGCCACGTCTCTGCTATTATATGTCTCAGCTCGCCAAGACGCTGATCGATCAAGCGCACTTGTGTCCCCTGCCATTGATGGCAAACCCCATCACGTGGGACTTTGACGCATCGCTGCAGCTCTTTCCAGCGCCGGACGTGCTGATCATTGGCGACGCAACGGAGCAGTACCAACTCGGGTACTCGTCCGTTGGCGTGTTCCATCCAGGTCCGTTCCATGTCGACTACTCCTTTGTGTTCTACCGCCCAAGCACCACCACAACCGAATTCAGTCGCGTCGAATAAAGCGCTCTAAAAAACCAGTTTACTCGCATAAGCCCGGCGCAAGCGCTAACGAAGAGCGATAGCGCTAACCGTTTGCAGCCTCGTTTCAGTGACAGGATGGATCGATAAAAAAGCAGAGCAAAGAAAAAGGTCCACAGTCTTTTTGTGCAGGGACTATTATTGGTCCATGTAGTCCCAGCAGCATGGGGCGAGGCCAAAACAAAACGCTTTTCCCCTTCGCATCTCTCCTAAAAACGTCAGTGCCGCAATTGAGACTTTGGTCGTTCGGCATGCGGCGTCGTCACCATCGCCAGTTCGGACTGCCCAATGCGAACCAGATCCTCCTCTGTATGGTCGTCTGCACGCTCCTGTTCTTGTCTTTGCTTCGTCATAACTGGCTGCAATTCGGAGAAGATCCAGACGTCCATGCGTCGCTCCGGCGTGTGTACATTGTGCGCGGCAGCTCGACGGACTTCCAGTCATGGGACACTTTTTGTGCCGACGATTCGTTCACCATGACCATGTAAAGTAGCAGTAGGCAGTCGTTGAGGTTTTATTTTCGCACATGGAGTACAAATGTGTTGCGTCTAAAGTAGCGCGTAGATAAATAAGGGCGCGCTAACGATATGGCGTTCTATTCTTTACAGTCCCGGGACGACGAATCAGACCACGACGGTCGTGGACATGCAGGACGGCGCCGTGTTGTGCCATCGACGCACAAATGGACAACTCGTGCCGCACTTGATGGTGTGGATACTCGCCGTGGGACTCAGCTGTGCGCTCTCAAGTACGCTGCTGGCAGTCTATCTGCAGCTGGGCAACCCGACGCGGGAGATGATCTTTTGGGTCGGAATGCTGCCGGGGATTGCGCTGTTTGGCTCTGGTGCGTCGTCGTGACGTCTTTTGGGTTGTTGAAGGAGCTCACGGCCACACTCACGTTGTGTTTATTTATTGTGTGCGTTGTGTGTGTGTGTGCCTTTGCTGTTGTGAGTGCAGCGGTGCTCGGGACGGCATCGTTGATCCTGTGGCAGAGGTACTACTTCCGGTTCAACAATGGCGACTGCTTTAGCATCACTGTGGCTGCTACAGTCATTGCCTACGCAGCAGCGATCTCTATGGTCACGCGCTGGCGCTGGGTACGCACTGCAGGTGTGCTGTATAATGACATTTGGGATGCAGCTTGTAATCCGTGTTGGCTGTGGTCTGTTTTGCTGCCTCTGCGTGTTGGTGGCAGCCCGGCATCTGCGCTGTGCCCAACGAGCAACAAGCTCTCGGTTCACGCCAGAATGGAGACCGCTTGCCGCGTCGTCGCAGTCGAAGACTGGGATCTGCCGCAACTGCTGCGACAGTGGCCGGTGATATGGCTGCGCCACTGAACCGCTGACCTTTGTCTTGTTGCAACTGCAAGGACGGACCCTCTGGTCACTGATGCACATCTCGTTGCAGTGTAATGGTACACTAGTCGTCTGTTCCACGACTTGGCAGGTGAATGTGAGCTTATTTATTGTTCAAACGACGTGCCAAGCTCAAGACGTGCCAGTGCTCTCGACACAAGGTACTCCAGCTACATGTTTTCTTGCTTCCCTTCTCTCTGTCTCTCTCTCTGTCGTGCTTACGCCCTGTCGTGAGACCTTTCGTTTAGTCACTTTCGTCACCACTGTCAGCCCTGAGCTTGCTCAGCACGCGGCGCGCGTACTCGCCGATCACCTTCGCATCAGCACCGCCACTGCGCAGATACTCGGTCTGGGTCTCTGGTCGGGAATGCACTTCGAGCAGGTAGAGCAGTGTTCGCTCAGCAGGCAACTTGACGGCCAGGTTGTTGCTCTTGATCACCTGGAAGACAGCGGGAACAAGCACGGCCAGGTGCTCGCGCACTTGTTCCGGCGAGCGCTTTGCAACGAGCTTCGTCACGTGCAGCGAACTACGGACGATGTCTTTGCTTTTGTGCGTGACACTGTCCGCCAGCACGGGCACCAGCGCCGCGAGACTTTCCACTTTCTTCGAGTGCTTTGCCACGGCGCCAAGTGCCTGGAGCCCATGGTTGCGCACAGCAACCTGTTCATCTTGCGCCAGTGCAAGCAGCGTGGCGGTCAGAGAAGCAGAGACGTCCGATGTCAGCAGTGCTGCGTGTTTGTGCAAGACCGATGCTGTGAACACGGCTGCGCTCTGGCGGCGCTGCCACGAGAGCGCCTGCCTGTCATCGGCAGTCATATTTGTCAAACTGTGGTCCAGCAACTGCTTCCTCGCTGCCTCCACGTCGCTGCTAGCGGTGGTAGCCACACAGGAAGCTAGGCACCGGCTCGCACCGTCCCGAAGTGCGTCTTCACTCGACTCGAGCATCTCTTCGAGTGCGTTCTCGAGAGTGCTGCGACCCACAGCTGAGAGTTTACCGCCAACGCGCTCTACCACCGAAGCGACAGCCTCCAAGTTGGCTTCACGCACACCGCCAGTCGTGGTCCGCAAGCGCTCGGTCAGCTCTGTCAGCAGTGGCTCCACACGTGGACTGAGCGTGACAAGCAGCCTCAGGGCGGACGCCCCCCGAGCTCGTACATCTACAGCAGTGTCGTTCAAGGCCTTGATGAACGTAGTCTGCAGCTGGGGAAGGAAGGGCTTGAGCGCCACGCCGCCCTTGGTCAGAATGATCTCCAGAGTCTGCAAGATCGCAGCCTTCACGTGACCAGGGAAGCGATCACCAGCGATACGAATGAGCGGACCCGTGAGCTTGATCAAGTACGGACGCAGAGACGATGCGCTGCTCAGCTCGACGAGCTCACCCAAGCCAGCAGCTGCGCTCTGACGCAGCACCGGCGACCCATTCATCAGAGCCCACTGATAACCAGGCAAGAACGGCTCCAGGCCGTGAGGGATGCAGAGACCAGGGAGCAGGTACTCGCCGTCGCCGACGCCACCTTTGCGATGACGGGCGTCACTGACCATCGAGTTGATGGATTGCCGAATGAAGTCCAAGTGCTGCGCAAAAGCTTCGGGCCTCGTGGTCACGTTCATGCCCTTGAGTGCCGCAGAGGCTGCACGAACCACTGGATCGCTTTGCTCGTTCAAGTGCAGCACAATCTGCTTCAGGAACAGTGGCGCCTGGTCGTTGTATGGCACCGACGCATGCGAGCAGAATGCAGCCACGAGCTCGAAAGCGAGAACACGCTCGAGCACGTTTTCGCTCTCGCAATACTTGCAAAGCTCGATCGCCAGCCAGTGCACGCCAGGCGCCTCCACGTGAAGCACCACCTCGCGCAGTGAGCTCTTGATGTTCTCGGCAAGTGCTGCCTTTGCAGCATCCGAACTGCCGTCTTCCAGCAGCTCGACGTACTGTGCGAAAAACGCAGCAAAAATGCGTTCCACTTGAAAGTGAATGACGGCCCCCGTCGCCTGCGCCACGCGCGACACTGTAAATGCTGCCGAGGCAGTAACCGGCTTTACCAGCAGACGTGGGATCAGGTACGGGAGCACCTCACGCGACTTCACACGCAGTATCTCCTGAAGTCCGAGCAGCGCGCGTTCCTGTTCCTCTGCCGACGGCGACGAGTGGATGCGCTCGAGAATCTTCGGGACGGTCTCATCGATAGCGCGGTAGCCAATGCCCCTGTGCAGGACATCAAACGCATGCGCTGCCGATGCACGGACTTCTGCGACTTCGTCACAAATGCCGTCCAACACAGCGTCCAGGAGCGTGTCGACATAGTCCTCGATCTGCTTCTTCGTGCAACAGTCGATGACTTCTGCGAGACCAATGCAAGCTCCTTGTCGACGGCCGATAGGCAGCGAGGGCGATAACCCAGCACGCAAGATAGGCACCACCTCAGGAAGCACATGCTCGCCGAGCTTTCGCACAATGTCACCAAGCGTACGTCCAGCCATCGTCAGCTTTTCCATGTTGTCACCCGAGAGCGCCGACACGATCGTGTTCAAGAGTGCCTCGAGAATCTGGCGAAGCGTTTTGGGCGTGTTGGAGACCACGCTTTTCCAGACCTGCAGAGCGCTTTGGCGGACGACAGCCGACGTATCCGAGCGAATCATGTACAGCGCTGCCAAGATCGCGTTGCGGCGCTGGATCCCAAGCAGTTTAATGATAGCTCGATCACCTGCAGCACTGCCCGACGTCTCGTCGTCGTCGTGGCTATCGTCGTTGACAACCGCAACTGCACGCGTGCCACTGATGCGATACATGAGGTCACCCAGCAGTGTGACCGAGCTCTGTCGAATGCGCCAGCTATCATCGAAGAGACCAGCCTCGAGACTCGGGAGCAGATCACGCGTATGCGAGAGGGCGTGCGCGTTGACCACTACGTGACCCGAGTGCATAGCAACATTGCGTACAGACTCGGCTTCGTCACTGAGACCTTTTACCACGATGGGCAGCGCATCGCGAAGGAAGATGGCGAACTGCTTGCCTAGCGCCGGTGGCAGGAAAGCGATGACCCACAACACGCCCTCACGCACTGAGAACATTGGATGGCGTGCCAGCGGCAAGATGTCCTCCCGCATGACACGCTCGACGCGCTCCATGCCAAGCGCAACCACCACTTCACACAGACCTTGCGCAGCACCTGAACGCTCCACAGGACCAACTTCATTGTCCTTCATAGCCCCGAGAAGCCACGTCAGCACGTCCGCAAAGTGGCGCTCACCAAGCCCCTTGACCAGCTTGCCCAAGGCCTTGCCGGCCACAGCACGCACTTCCGGAATGGGATCCATGAGCTGAGTCTTCAAGCTCGGTAGCACGGTCTCCATGTAAGGCACAAGGTCCTTGGCATCGTTGATCATGGAACACATGCTGCCCACAATGAGCGCGGCCTTCTTCTTGGCATCACCAGCGCGATCCCTGAGACCACGAGAGATGATGGGCATCACAAGTGCCAACGACGGCGCATCAATCGAGTGCTGGAAAGACGTCGACTGAAGCTGCTGAAGAGCTTCGGCCGTGTACCGGTTTGGATCTTCGAGCGCATCGAGCAGCACCTTAGAGATAGCCGCAATTTCAGGGTTGCGCACTACAGAACCCACGTCACGTAGCGCGCTCTTACCAGCTTCACGGACCTTCGGGTGCGAGTCAGTCAGCGCTGCCATCAACTTGGGCACCACCTGAGGCAAACACGAGCCCAGCTGTCGAGGGGCACAGTACGCCATGGAGCCCAAGATCTGGATGCCCGACTGCTTCGTACGCCACGCGCTTTCTTCCAGCGCACCCAAAAGCGATGGCAACACCAGCTTCACACCATGTGCCGACAAATGGGCCATGATACCCTTAGCAGTCTGACTTGCCGCTTTGCGCACTTGCGGACTGGCATCGGCCGAGCACTTGAGCATGATGGGTAGAATCACGATGATGTAGGGCTCGAACAGCAGCCCGAGGCGTTGGCTCAGACACTCGAACACAAACATGACGCCTTCGCGAGCGTCAGCACCGCCCGTCTTCATCGCGTCTTCGAGGCGCGGGATGATGCTGTGGAGTTTGAGTGCAGAAATACCGAGTCCTTTGATCACGGCTGAAATACCGTACGCTGCACCCATGCGCCCGCCAAAAGTTTCGCCCTCAGTGACACGCTTCATGAGACCATCCAAGATACTCGTGCTGCGATCCTTCAATGCGCCTATGATCGTCGACAGACACGTAGCAACCGAGCGCTGTACCGACTCAGACGGAATGCCAAGAGCCTCTAGGAGCAGGTCCACGATTGAAGACACTTTGGGGTCCGTCGGGGACATGTGCTTGGCCAGAGAGCCCAAACACACCACGACACCTTCACGCTGATGATCATAAATGGACAACGCTTGTTCCCGCTGCTCCAGCATGTCCTCTTCCCGAGCAGCAAGTTCAGTCCCAGCCTTGGCTTTCTTCCCAATCGTGCTTGCAACCGTAGCTGCTGCAGGAGGAGTACTCGTGTCAAGAAAGCGCTCAAACATTTCCAGCAGTGGCGCCGTGTTGGTACCTCCACCCAGCGAAGCCACAGCTTGCACACCGGTCTTGCGCATCTGCGCACGCACCTTAGCGTTCGGATCTCCCAGACCATGCTTCATAACAAACGTCAACAGGGTCATGGTATCGGCGCTGGAGATCGCTTCAGGGCCTGCCATCTCTGCAGCTTTCTCCAAGCACAGAGCGACGCCGAGACGAGGGTACATTGTACGCCCATCTTCAGTCTGCTCAGCTGCTGGCGCATGGGGGCGGCGAGCCGTAGGAATACCAAACTCGTCTGTTTGCTTCGTTGGCTTCGGTTGGTTACTCAAGAACCGCGTCTTCAGATCATCCAGCAGGGGCGTCACAGACGATGGGAACTGACGCATACCATCAGCAAGAGCGAGAGAAGCACTTTCACGCACGCTAGCATGAGAGTGATGCAGCAATTCCAGCAAGGGACCTGCAAACAGTGCTGTGATCGTAACTCCAGTGGCGCTCCATATCTGCTTGGCGAGAGTACGGTTCTTGTCCTCCCCGTCAAAGCAACAGCAGTGTAGCCGACTCACAAAGAGCGCACTGGGCTCAGCATTGCGGAACTCTGCACCACTTTCCTCGCTTTGAACAACGTTGAGCAACGCAGTCAGGACCTCACCACGTGTACTTGCTTCTTCTGCAAGCAAGCCTTTACCGCCAAGCAGGGGGCCCACTCCGACAGGGTCAGTTCAGGTCCCATGCACAGCGAAGTCAGTAGTTTGCCCGGAGCCAAGTCTGGATTCGTGATAGGCAATGCACTACCCGTTGCCTGCTGAGACAGCAGCAGCAACACCAACTCCACCATATCGCGACGCAGCAACCGCTGTGCTAGAACGTCACCCACTTCTTCTTCCTCTTCAGCAGGGATGTTACGCGCATGAACAGCAAGAAGGGGCAATGCCCATCGACGCAGGTCTGGTGCGAAGCGAAGCGACACAGAAAGCACTGGAAAGATCAAGTGCAGCGTCGGTGGAGGAACCAAATTGCACGGAGCATCGGCGTCAAAGTCGGCTTCGCTTTCAAACTGGAAACCAAACACAAACTCCATCAGCTCTGCCAGCAGACGCAGATACAGCGATTGCATCTCTGCGAGATAGGCCGCCCTGGCTTTTTCGGACGTGAATCGATCGAGCTGCAGAGCGGATGCGCAGGGCACTTGCAACGTCTTGGTAGTTCGAACGAAGCAGCTTCGGACTTGTAGCCTTTGCGTCCGCCAGTAGTGAGTTGGACGCTTCAGATTCGAAAGCGGGCACGTGAATAGCACGCGAACTGAGCGAAG